TTGTGGGAAGAAGGTGTGGTGGTGTATAATTGCGGACGATTGAAGAACAGGACTTGAAAGCGCGCTCTGATCCACCAAATTATCGGAAATATGCCAACTGGTACTGTTGCGTGGTCGGGCAGAGGGTAGAAAGATGATGCATTTATCAGCTATTTGAGACTGGCTGAAGGTAGACCAAAACTCAAGAACTGTGCAACTTCAGTTGTGTACCAGACACAGATATGGTTCTTAGTAAGTCCTGGCACTGTTGTATTTATGAGAATCTTAGCTGTGTACGGAATCTAGATATTTATCCAGTGTGTTGACGCGGTTGCCAGTGTTGCCAGTATTGTAACACTGGCAACTGCCATATCCAGTATCCATATAGATGTTCATTCACTCATATATTTAAGTTACTCATACATGACATAAGAGATTGTACCGCTTGACTCTACTGGTTGCAAGGTCCCGCGGTACGATGGAATATTCGTTGACATGGGATGGAAGCCCGTTGGGTAGAATGGAAAATCAAAGTCCTTCGGTAACAATGGATGTCAAGTGCTATAGTGGAAGCTTTGTAAAAGAACATCACTCTAGGTAACTTGCTCTATCCTATCTCCTGATGACCCCGTACTAATTACTTCTCTTTGCCTAGATCAGTTGATTATCCATTTCCCAGCTCAACAATGTAATTCGAGGTATAGCTATTAGCCGCATATGAAACTTATGTAGCTTCAATACTCATGCTAGCGAAAGAGTTGGCTTAGACAGTGTCTAAATTCGTGGGCCCGAGAATAATCAGTTGAATGTCAATGATTTCGTGATCAATGACGGTTATTAAACGGCAATCTAATGTAGACGTCGTCGCAGTGCTAATAATATTAAGATCGTAGCGGTTAGGCTGGGATTAATTATTCGGCTTTTCAAGTCGTGATACACTTGATGTTGAAACTATTAGGCGAAGGGTCCCAACATCATCAATCAACCGGAGTGATAGGTGGAAGTCTCACGAGGAAATTTTGGATATAGCTTCAGGTTATCAGAATGCGTAAGTGGGATGGGCAGTATAGCGTAGATGTCCTTCTCAGGGGACACATAGATCGACAGGAAAGGGTAAAATGTGAAAAAGGGGAAAAAAAAATAATCCCCCAGAACCCACGGCACCACATGATGGAAGATTGCGGACCTCGCAAGTTATAATATAACCCAAATTTCCAAGCGAAATTATCCATCACGGCCACCAGCTTTCAAATTCTTGAAAGTAGCGCACCAGTGGGGCTCGAACCCACGACCTTGCAAGATTGCAGGCGCATCTAACCACTAGACCAAATTGCCCAGGGAGCGTTACTGACATACAATCAATTTTCCCTTATAACCTTTGATTCTCCGGTGCGTTACTGCCGAAACAGGCAGGTACGTCGTAGTACGCGGCTGCCCTTCCATGTGTCTTGCCTACTAAGTACCTGGAGCGAACCCAACCCCACCCGTGAAGCCCATGCAACCAGTATCTTCATTGTCTCCTGTACCCTTAAAATGCCATCACCTAGATACCCGTGGGCGTCTTATAATTATTATAGAGCCTGTACGCATAGTTCATGTTCTCAAGGAATACTATTAATTCATAATCATCTGCATCAGGTCAGTTCTCCTTTTATTTATCAGCAGTATTCACAATCACTAGATCTACGAGCCTAGGGCTGGCATTAGGCACAGGAGTATTGCTATTGCTTTGGGGGTTTCAAGTGATATTGAGACGGATCAATGGAATAGCAGATATATTTCTAGCGGGGATGATAACATTACTGGCGAATCCAAGAAGATCTTGCGACTTGGTTCACTGCAAATGGTATCTTCACCTATGTAGGTAAACATACACTTAGTAACGGACTCGGAAATTATCACATCTAAATTGTCAGGTGAGGGGACACGATAAAAGTACGGGGTGATAGACTGGAGTAAGGATAACTTCATATTTGTGACTGTTTTGACCCGTGGCCCTCTCTAAGTCTAAGGCAGGGTAGCCCCCCCTTCATAGACGTACCTAGCTAGCTGATAACCCCGACATAGATAGATGGGCCACACTTTCCAAGCTCCTTCATGGGGCGGTAGTCTTCAAGGAGGGGCGTTTTGGAAAGGTTTCCTCTGACAGGGATCAACTCGAATAAATACATTCTCAGGGCTTGTCACGCCCAATTCCCAACTTATATACCCTCAGGGCGCGGTCACGACTTTCTTTGTGATCCACGATAGGTTCCGGATAACCAACCCTCTTAGCTTGTGACGCGGAGCCCCTGTTGTATGGATCATGGATGGCTTTGCCCTTGATCCCTCGGAGCTCCGGAATCCACTTGCGTATATATTCTCCGTCAGGATCGAATTTCTCACTCTGTAGAAGCGGGTTAAAAATGCGGAAGTATGGTTGGGGGTCTACGCCAACGGAGGCACTGAAGCCCCAGCCACCATTATTAGAAGCGAAGTCGCCGTCGATTAGGTTCTCCATGAAGAATTTCTCCCCCATACGCCAGTCGAGGAGCAAGTCCTTGCATAGGAAAGAGGCAACGATCATGCGGCATCGATTGTGCATCCATCCTATGCTTCTCAGCTGTCTCATTGCGGCGTCTACAATTGGAAAGCCAGTGCGCCCGTTACACCAAGCTTCGAAGTGCGCTGAGTTGTACGACCACTCAATATTTGAGTACTCTGGTTTAAATGGCTTGTTCATACTAGAGACGTCTCATTAGCATGGAGTACTCAGTTCATAGAAATATCCAAACCTACCATATATATGGCCAGTGGACCAAGACGTGTTTGTAGAAATCGCGCCATGCGACCTCACTGATCCAGGTCTGAATCCCTTCAACTCCAGAATCCAGTTTCTTTGTCTTGTTCCTATCCCTCGCGGTCCTTACTGCAGTTCTTGCGCTCAAAGTACCTGCTGCCAAGTGAACTGATATTGACGACGTCGCTGCCTCAGAGGGAAAATTGCGCCTCTTGCCGTACTGTCCAATTTTCTCCTCACAGAACTTGTCGAGCCTATCTATAGCTTCACGTTCCCCTGCCGGCCAAGTGGCATGGAACCGTTTCGCATCTGTCTCGGATAAACGCTTGTTTTCTGGGGTATCGGGTATCTTGCAGTCAAATAAGGCGGCTACTTTCTCCCGGGCGGCAGGCATATTCTTCGCTGGGGGGTCAAATGGAGTAAGTAGTCCCTGATTTGCGTGGATATGTGCGACCCAAGCCCTAAACCAAGGTGAGTAAACTGCATACTGCTTCCCAGCTCCTGTGTTCAACGCCCCTGGCGGGACAATACACGTATCGTGGAATAGAACCGTCGCCAGCCCCTTTTCTGCACAGGCTTTCACTATTTTTGCCTCCCTCCTAAGTTCATCCACCTCATACTCGATGTTGGCGTATAGATGACTCGCTCCCCATTCCTCCATAAAATCTACGATGCGCTCAGGTATCTCTTTTCGCTTCCCGACAGTCTCCACGTATAGAGGAATGTCTAGGGCTGCTAGATCCTTCTTCAGCGCCCGTAGCGTGCGTATCATGAAGTCGACGCGCACCGGAGATGTTAGATGAGCCTCATAATCCTCGGGGCTCACTATGTACATGCATATCAAGGGAACACCTGCTTCATGGGCCTTTTGGCTCGCCTCCCATAGTGCGCGATTGTCTGTTGTTCGTAAATCCATTTTAAACCAATGTATTACAGCTTCCTTTACTCTAATGCTCTTTCGTATTGAGGCTGTTTCCTTCAAGGCGGCTTCAAGTTGCTCAATAGGGCGAGGAATTTCATTGTGGTTGTAGGCCTCAGCTCGCGCAATGCTCATTTCCGGCGGATAATACTTGCGCAGGACAATACCATTCTCTTCGGCCTCCGTTGCGAAGTGATGTGGTTCACGTAACGGATCCAGAGACCCATTCGCAAGCTTGGGTCTCTTGTTTGATGCTTCATCATCGTTACTCGTAACTCTTTGCTTCACAGTTCTTTTAGGCGGCATCGTGAAATGACGCATTGAACGGGGTCTCAACTGTAATAATGCGAAACGTGCACAGTTGAAGTTCTCAGCGCGGAAAAGTAGGCTGTTGGAGTAGGACACGAATGATCTACAACACGATGGAGAACTATTAGCAAAAGGAGGCATCGAAATCAGCGAAGTGGGAGAATACAACAGGAAGTAATTGAGATTATGGTTCCTAGGCGAGAATTGCATTGTTTTGATATTTTCTTTTTTTGGTAAACGCGCTTGAAATATCTTGTACGTCATCGCGATTCCGAGATCAAAAGCGTGACAGGTAGGTACAGGTACCTAAATCGATCTAGATTAGTGGCTTCGTTAGCGGGGATCTTCAGCCCTACGCCCCACCATCAGCCGCACATACGACTTGAGAGCCTAAAATAACGACATTGGTCCACTTTAAGGGTTGGCACTTACAAAGTCAATTGTGAGCTCACTGGCGACCCCTTTAACTTCTCATGAAGACATTATGTCAAGGGCTAAAGGCTTAAAGTCGGTTCTCTCGCTTTAAAATAGCAAAAGCTCTTCTTTTGTTTCTTTTAGCTTAGACAGAAAAACGAGGAATAGATAAATGAAGAAGGGAAAAGGAGACATTCTAAGTAGTATCCATAGTAGCAAGTCATTCTACCGTATTCGCTAAGTAACTTTTCATGCAGCCTCCTTAATTTATCATTAAGAGAGATTATAATTGAAAGTAGGTCTTCTGTGGAGTTATAGGCATGAAGCCATTTTTGGAAGGGACAGGAAAATGGAAATGGATAAAGCAATGGAAAAACGGGACGAAAAAGTCAACTATTAAGATCGCAAGTTATCCCAAGGGGCGATGCGAGACCATCGAAGCCGCAGTACGGATTTTATTTTAAGTACAAATAAAAAAAATAATCCCCCAGAACCCACGGCACCACATGATGGAAGATTGCGAACCGCGTAAGTTACAATATAACCTAAATTTCCAAGCGAAATTATCCATCACGGCCACCAGCTCTCAAATTGAGAGTAGCGCACCAGTGGGGCTCGAACCCACGACCTTGCAAGGTTGCAGGCGCATCTAACCACTTGACCATATTGCCCTGAGAGCGTTGCTAGAACATCAGTCAATTTAACCTTAAGTACCTCTTATTGGTGCGCGCACCCAATCATGGCCCTAGATACCCGAAGGCTAAACAATTCGTACTATCCAAGTTGCAAGACTTTACTGTCAAGTAACCTTAATAACTTTTTTTTTTCTTTTTCTTTGGGATATCCTCACGACATTCAGAGTAAAGGATAGCTAGTTGCCAGGTCTTCATTCACGGATTAAGAGGCACTTTAATATGTCGTTCCCATTACTTACCCCACTGCTCAATACGCTGCTCCTCTCCTACCATCAAGCTTCATCACTAGGTATCTGTAATACTACGGTTTTATTACTAGGTACATATGATTAAATCTCTCATTATACCTTTGGAATTCTCTTGTCGTATCTTTGTCGCTCCCTTTGCTTTAAACTCGTCGCTTGTACGTTACATCTTCCATATTAGCTAGGTTAATACTTGAGAGTCTTAATCGTTATCAACTCTGCGTACTTCTAATGAGACTAGGCGATAGCGAGTTGCTAGATAGCTCTCGTATATATCCATTGTAACTATTGTATCCTAGTCTAGAACGCTAGTAATTGCCTCAATGATACTGCGCACTGCTGCCACGTAGCGATTCTCACAGCATTACATACTGGAGCAACTATCATTTAATCGACCTCGGAGCATCTTAAATGCCCTTCCTAATGAAAACTAAACACTCTTTCTCGTGAAACTTCGTTACATTCATCGATACGCATTGATTCCCCTCCCTGTTAAATCTCATCCTCCGCTACATCATCGTCCGATCCGGCATGGAAATCAGCCATGTCTATGTTTCCATCATTAGACTGGCCGGCACTAGAAGCGGTTCTACTCTCTACCATCGTCATCGTCCTCCTCTAGTCCACCCACTAACTTGTAGATCTCGTAGTCCACGGGACTATAGAAGACACCCATCTTCTCAAGAAGGGCATCTATCTGGAGGGCGGTCTTGCTGTGCATGCTGATGTCGAGGCGTGACCGCGGAGTCGCATTCCAGTTCTGCCGAGCGCTGACGATGGCCCAGAAGAAACAGAAGAACGTGGCCTCCCCGAGGCGCTGGGCCCAGGGAGTTTCTTCCTTGAAAAAGCTCAAGAAGGTATGAATGCCTCTATTTTTCGTGAACAAGGAGGTCGAGGAGGTGGGGTTGGAGCGCGATGGCAAAGGTCTCTGCAAGGATATCGTCGAAATTTTTCATGGAGTCTTTGTTGGATGCGTCCTTGGCTATTGTGACGAAGCCAGTCTGGCAGAAAGCATTGAGGATCTTGGCGTCTCGAGATTGTCGTCCAAGAAGGTTTTGGTCGGACTCGTACACCATTCCCGCGCGAGGAAGGAAATCTCTGAGGCAGGACATGATGAACCGCAGGCTAAAGTTGATCCGATATGCCAAATAAGGGTTTTTGAGTTGATTATGGCTGTAGAGTCGGAGCTATTTTGGTGTAGACAGATGGAAGTTATTTAGATGATGTTCGGGTTGAAGTGGCAGAATATTTCTTCAGCGTGTGCAGTAGCTGAAAATCTTCAGGTTGAAGTTAACAGATTGTGCGTACTCAGAAGTGAAACTTTTTGCTCGGGTTCCGGGTTGAAATAAATTCGATTACTGGCAGAGCAATCCCATTTGAACTGGGGAAGTCGATACGAAGCGATTTAATCATGTTGAGTAGACAAAATGCTCAAATAAAACCAATGAATTTCGATGGTGTAGCATAAGTACCCTCACGTAACGTTAAAATTGTTAAGGGGGGCTGCTTGATACAGCAAGGCAGCGAAACTACATGGTACCTACGTACCTAAGGCACAGTAATATGTACCTTGGTTTCTCAGCAGCCATCTATCGCGCAAGTAATAGGATACGTCACTAGAACCTATTATTAGCGACAGGCCCGTACATATTTTCTGGAGACACTGTCAACACGAAGAAGAAATTATGAAGGTGGGGGAAAGAAGACTACATACACCGGTAGGGTCCCTGATATCGTTGTAGTTGAAAGACTTGAAAAGGTCACTCCCATCGCCGCGATCAGCCACACCACTACATCTATTATCAATGCTAATGGCTACATCATTAAATTTTATATATTTCAGAAAATAAACTCCTTTTCCCGGCAGATGATCAGATGTTCAGGTCCAGAAATACTTTATTGTCGTACCCGACATTGCTCTCCTAGCGTGTTCGACTTCGCTGGTCGGGATTCAATTGAAATTTCTTCTATTTCTGTCTTGCGATGGGTCATATTGACTTGCCTCCTTTCGCCCATAAAAAGTCTGAGAGTGTGATATCGAATGTGATTCGGCAGTTAGCTGAAATATATATACGCGTTGTACTGCTGCATAGCTACATGTATATATTAGCATTCAAAGCAATAGGGGATATAATTATATGTAATTATGGATCATATGGTTCCTGCTAACGTGGCCTCTAACAAGTCAATAGTTCATCAATGCTTCCATAAGCCATGAAAATGGCATATATTGTACGAGAAGTTTGACAAGATATAGCACGAGAACTGGCTGTAACCTGGCACGCCACGCATCGGATTGGCTTCGGGATGTCTTTCAGAGGCTAGATAAAAGGGGCGGAGGAGATACAGCGGCAATAGGGAACCCGACAACCATCTCGACAACAAAGAGCTTATCCCCTTATTTTACTGGAACAATACGTTGTGAAATATGAGGCGCTTTATTAGGACCTATCAGGTATAAATACCTTTACGATGGCTAGAAGTGTTAGAATAGCCGAGTCATCCTTCTTTTCTGATGACTGATCATTACACAATATAGGTAGCTTCTATCACTATATGAGTTGGGACGATATTTCACCTGTACATCGCGTAACTCACTGATTCAGATAGAGTCAGAACAAGTTTGATGTCTTGTCAAAACTATTCCCATTTAATCATTCCATACCACCCCAGTTGAACTAACGCAACTCTCCCTCCCCTTTCCTAAGTGTCTCAGTTTCCAACTTTCACAGTCAGTTCACCGTTTACTACAACCACTACCGTCACCATCACCACAATAGTCACCATCCCTGTCTCTAACCATGACTTCACTCAAGGACCTCTTGCCCCGAGCCGGGATGACTTACTCATCCGAGGAAGACTTCCTCTCTCGGCGAGATCGAGACATGAAGGTCTTCATGGCCCTCAAGCAAGCAGGTATCATTAACACCGCCAATGACACCCCCGAAAAGGCCAGCGAAAAGGCGGTCGACAAGGCATTGGCCGACCTCTTCACTCTCGTCGCTCAGCCCTACGTGATGTTTCACATTTTAGATGAAGGCGTAGATCTCCCCGGCTTGACGCAAAGTACAGCTTCTTGGGTACGACACATCGCAGAGCCCGTCTTCACCCAACTGATCCAGCGCCTCATAGATGCTCGTTTAGCTTGGCAGAAGAACCCCAGCGAGCCCTTAGAGATCGGCCAGCATAGCGCTACGGCGCGGAAGATCGACATGTTTATGGACTTCGTGGAGGGTCAGGTGAACTCCGCTATTTCAGGGCTATTCGACATCATAGGAGACTCCAGCATTAAGGAGGAGGAGAATAGCGAAGAACAGGTTGTAGCTTAACAGTAGCATGGACGTGATCATGACCGGCCTCGCTGCAGCGTCACAGGAGGATTTTGACGGAAGAAGGAAGAAACCAAAGCCATGGATATTGATGATGACAATTAGGAGGCACTGCGAAGGTAGTTGTCTAATCACGTAAAAAGGGGATCTCAAGATAGTCGATGTTGGGTGAGCGAAATAATTTCGCGTTATGAGTAATGCACATTTGCTTTTGTCTTGCTCATCTTTCTATCTGCAGCCATAATCATCGTGAAGTTAGCTGTCGGTTTACTTAGTTTGTCTGTAAGCGATGGAAATAGGAAGGTTTAAAATGAGAGGAAGGGAATGGCAGGACAGGATTGGAAGGAGAAAAAGAAAAAAAATTGACCACAACCCACTAGGCTAACAGCTCTTAGAGATCTAAGAGTGGCGCACAATCCCCCAGAACCCACGGCACAATGGTGGAAGCGCCGGCGAATTGGTAATGCGAACAGAACCGAGAACAGGATTATTATCCACCATGGCCAACAGCTCTCAAATTTTTGAAAGTAGCGCACGGGTGAGGCTCGAACCCCAAGCCTTGCGGATTGTAGTCAGACGTGTCAACCAACTTGACCAAATTGCCCAGGGAGCGTTACTGACATACAATCAATTGTCCCTTATAACCTTTGATTCTCCGGTGCGTTACCACCAAAACGGGCAACTACGTCGCAACTGGCAACTGGCAACTACCTAAAGGAGGATGTATCAATTTTTAGGCGCATCCAATCCAATGCCTGCCTTTTAGGGAGTTATTAGGTGGTTAATATCTTTCCACACCACTGTATCTGCTGCACTACACTTTTAGCCCGCGATGAATCCCCCTTAATCGTAATTGGAACTGCACTGTCCTACTTACGTATCTTAGATGCCCTAAGATATTCAAGCGTGCCCTTCTCCATCCTAACAACTTTCATCTTCCAAAATCAACAATTCAATTCAAAAATAACCAATTGACACTCGTCCGAACTATCACCGTCCTATTATCGTCAAACAACATTGACCCGAATCCACCATGCCTCTCTTCTACCAATTGAAAGGATTCCTACCAACCAAAGGTATGATCCTCCCCGTCTCTGGCCCGGTCCTCGGCGGCAAGCGCAGAGACACCGCTATCATGAAGGCATTCGAGGTAGCCAAGTTCGCCGAAGTTGGCAAAGGACCGACGAATACAGCCAAGTCAGCGGTCGACCAGGCACTGGCGGAGGTCTTCACCCTCGCGACCGACCCTCAAATCATCAATCACTTGACGGCCGAGGGTGGGGGCCTCTTCGATTTCCTCGGCAAGCTCCGAAAAGCCGTTCCCTGGCTTGAGCGCACCGGGGAATCGACCTTTATCAAGCTGTGCCAGTGTCTGGTCGACGCGCGCCTGGCTTGGAAGAAA